TGTGTGTGTGTGTGTGTGTGTGTGTGTGTGTACATCCCTCACCACTCCACACACGAATAGGTGTCCCTTTTCAATTCATACATTGACAAAACCAGGCGGCCAGTGGGGCCTGCAGTACAAGTACTGTAGTACTGTACAGTCGACTCCTCCTGTGTTGAATTAGAGTTGAACTACGGAATGAGTTGATCTTTTCTTCATCAATCCCCTGATAGCATCAACGAATCTATCTGTAGTTGACAGTCACATGAATCCGAAAACAACAGTAAACCATAGAAAACATAACTTTCAACCATTTTTTAAAATAAGCCTACATTTAAAAAAACCAAAACACCATTTTCAGACTGCACCCACATTATTTATACACAAACACTGCTACATCAACCAAAATTTTCAATCAAGAGTCATTGATGGATATATTATATTAAGCTCATTTTTTTCATAGATGTCTAATATTTCAAAAATGAACACAATATGGCATAAAAAATAGCCTTGAAGCAAAAGACAATGTCACAAAATTAATCAAATTTGTTTTCCCTTGTTTCAAATATCTACCTATAAAATATGTTTTTAACACTTCATCCCTATCAGAACAATTTAGATCATTTAAACTGTAACGATTCCACCAAATTCGTAAAGATGGGCAGCCCTGATAATGTCATAGAGGTTCGTTGGGGTATTTTTTTCCTGAAAATGCCATAGGGGCTTGTTTTTTTAAACCAGCGCCACAGCCTGACGATTCTCACGTCATGCAGAGCTGTGAGTGTGAGAGTCTTTGCCACCATTGCTGGATTTGGAAGAGTTCATACAGAGACCTGACGAATCCCCCACTGCTGCCGGGATTAGTGAATATCTTTTCACGTAAGTGTTTTATGCCCTTATCAACTCAACTAATATCATTTAGGAGGCTTGTTTCAACCCTGTATGTCAGAGCCAAGCCGTGCCGAGAGGAACACAGCAATATCCCAGCAGAGAGATCAAGATACTCGATACAAGTTCTCCTTACACTTACAGTACAGTCTCTATCACACCGCCTGGACACTCCCACCACATAGCTACTGCTCGCATTGTTGAGGCAGCAACCTCGTCTCTCAGCAAATGTACTATAGTAGGGCTTGCCGTTAGCCACGCTGTCTGGCCTCTGAGCAGTGATGAACGGCACTCTGATCCTGACCACAACATCTGCATGAGAACTTGCATAGCTTCACTTCCTTGTCCATATATTGCTGGTCTTCATCAGGTATCAAGGATCTCATCTGGTCCTAATTAAACTCATTGACCGGTATAACCTGGGGATGGCCACAGTTCTTTGTAAACCAGTGAAAAAAGAAACAAGTCCCCCAGCTTCAGCACAGTCTCCATTATCGCATCAACTAGACACCCTCACCACATAGCTACTGCCCGCATTGTTAAGACGGAAACCTCGTCTCCCAACAAATATATTATAGTAGGGCTTGCCGTTAGCCACGCTGTCTGGCCGCTGGTAACTGATGAATAGCACTTTGATCTTGACCCACAACATTTAGGACACTTGACTAGCTTCACTTCCTTGTCCCCACACAGCTGTTCTTCATCATGATGCATCCTGGATCTCACGTGGTCCTCATTATTCTCGTTGACTGGTATGAATTGGGGTTGGCTGCGGTTCTTCGTACAACCAGCACAGTTCCCTTCCATCTCATGGAGACCTGTAGTAGTAAGATGAGAGAAAACACACCCACACACACACACACACACACACATACACACACACACACACACACACACACACATACACACACACACACACGCGCGCGGGCGTAATGTATTATATTAAGTTATAAGTGCATAAATGTGGAGAAATCAGGCGCTAGTGACTAGATCTAGTCATTGCGTTTTTATATAGATTCTATGTTACAATGAAAAATTGCTGTCACCTTTTTTTAGTTTTTTAGAGGAGGGACACTCTAATGTAGGCTAGATTCTAGGCCTACCAATAAAAACTGACCGGACTGAACGTGTCACGACAGGTATAGAGATCTTAAGACATCATATAGATCTAATTTTGGCCTGAGTGGTCCCTTGATTTAATTATTTTTACAATTTACAAAGATAGTGAGACAGAAACAAACTATGAACAGAATAAGATGTAAATTCATTCGTCAAACCTCATTTTACGGTAAAATCTGCAATCTTTATCATTGGCATTTTGATTAGGCCTATTTTTACTTTCGACACTTTGTTTGACAAATACTCCAGGTTTTGTTGGGTTTTGCCATAGCTCTGTTCCGAAGTTAAGCTGCTTTTCTTGTGTTGTGAAGTGGCGCTCAATGATAATTAATTGTTAGGCTCTTGCAATGCACATAGGTCTTAATAAGTGCCGAAGATTAAATGTGTTACATCCAAGTCCAAAGAGCTTAAAACTTACTGTAACCTCCTTGGTTACAACAGACTTAACGCACAGAAAAAAAAGAAGGAGAGCTAAGGTCAACAGAAGTTCGATAGGAAATATTCAAAGAAGTAGCCAAACAAAACTTGTGCGCCTGCCAACCACCCACTTTTTTCAATCTCAGATTCATGCATTTAAGGCAGAAATGAAGTATTGATCCTAGATCTGGGGTATTATTTTAAGTAGGCCTACATTGTTATTCCCAAAGAGCAGGAAAAATGAAATTATGCCTTTAAAAAACGAATATTCACTTTTCCAGTCCAATTTTAGTTACAATTTGTAATTGCACGGACATAAAAAGCAGCACCAAAAAAAAAAAATTTTAACCAATAAGTATTGTGCTTGTTTTTCTTTTTTTCATATGGGATTAGCTCATAAGCACTGTGTAAGAGCTCTGAAAGCAGGACTTACTGCTTTATCACAGAATGATATGAAACAAACGAAAATCAAGAACAATAAAACACACAAGTGACTGAATAAAATGAAAATAAACAAAGCAAACAAAATGAAAAATGCACAGAAGAAATAGACAATATCCATGACTGATTATGAAAACTGAGAAAGTTAAAGTAAATTGTGGACAGCTGGGGGAATTACGGTAAGGTTTAATTAACATACTTTTTTTTTTTTGGAAATTGTGCTGTGTTTGACAACCGACGATTACAATAGGCTGCTAGGGTTTCAAAATGGCCAAAACGTCTTGCCTACTTCATTTTCTCCCTTCCCATACTTACTTACTTGGTTGAAGAATAGGCATCATTGCAGGCGGCACAATGTCATAAGCTGCTTGATTGATCGATCCTCCCTCCTCTCCAGGATAGGGTCTGCCTGCTGATCCTGCCAGTTATAAACAGCTGGTTGGATATTCGTCTGGCTTTCCACGCAGGTGGCTGTTTCTTCCCGACTCCGTACAGACACCAGCTTCCCATAGTCTATCCATTGTGTGTGAAGTGGTGCTTTACCTCTTTGCGGTCTTTGATCCATGCTGTCAATGCTGACTGTCATATATGGTGGATCTAATTGCATGGAGCTGCCAATCTCAGCCTGGCCGACTAGCTTATCAGCACGTTCATTGCCTTTAGTTCCTTCATGAGAAGGGCTACAGATCCATAAAGTCCGTATAAACCGGGTTGAAATTTTAAGTTGATCTCTAAATCATTAAGTCGTTGGGGCATAAAACACCTGTTGTTACAGCCAGCAAGCCGCTTGGCTACGGAATGCATCACATAGCACAGGGCACAGGGATCGCTTATCCAATCAGCGCCTTGTACTCTGGCTTTTTTGCCCAATGAAAACTAAGTTGTGATATTGTAACGCTTAAAAGTAAAAATAAGTACTCGATACATTATTTCTAATATAAACTTGCCTGTCAAGCTTATGATTTTTGCTCTAATTTGTCTAAAAGAAATTGCAGAAGGTTTGTGTTTTCTTTTAAGGCAGCGACAGCTATGTGGGATAAAAGAAACAATCACAATAACAAATCCGTAGTATCTGCCATATTTGAGTGTGTTGCTGTACCGCCAGCTTGAGATATCGATTATAAAATTGCATAACAAGTACTGGTTTGGTGGGGGCTTAGGGGAAGGGGGGTGGTGGTTGGCATCAGAGATGGTTTACAGTTACAGAGATATGTCACTCGTGGCGCGCTCAATAACAACAATGTATTGTTTCGCGTATCGCCCGGCACGGGTCGCGAAAACACTTACGCGCGGTAGTTGCTGCCACGGCATTGCTCAGGGATGCTGTCATGTCATGAGGAAAAGTCGTACCGTCTGTATTTATTCCCTGGGTTTCTAGGCCTTTAACAAAGAAGGAAACCTGTGATTTCTGTCGCATATTTAGGCAACATCCCCTGCCTCCCTCGGCCATAAACTGTAAGACTTTGGCTTAAGTTAAGTTAACATACATTCTAATAAACAAATAGACGCTTGATCTGAAAAAAAATCACTGTATAATTAAAAGCATAATGTGTTTAATTTTCACCAAAACTACTCTTTCTCCAGTGTCCTTAGTATCTGTCCCCTCTCTCCCTGATCTCTCCCCCTCTGTCTGTCTGTCTGTCTGTCTGTCTGTCTGTCTGTCTGTCTGTCTGTCTGTCTCTGTCTGTCTCTCTTTCTCTCTCTGTCTCTCTCTCTCTCTCTCTCTCTCTCTCTCTCTATCTCTCTATCAATCTATCTATCTATCTATCTATCTATCTATCTATCTATCTATCTATCTATCTATCTATCTATCTATCTATCTCTTCCCCACACTGTCTCGCTCTGTCTATGTATTTGTCTGTCTGTCTGTCGGTCTGTCTGTCTGTCTGTCTGTCTGTCTCTCTTTCTCCCCCCTCTCTTTCTCTCTTTCTCTCTCTCTCTCTCTCTCTCTCTCTCTCTCTCTCTCTCTCTCTCCCTTTCCCTCTCCCCCTCTCTCTCTATCACATACACACACACATACACACACACACACACACACACACACACACACACACACACACACACAAACACACACGCGCGTGCACACGCTCACACATACATACCGGTGCCTTCCTGGAGTGTTCGCAATCTTATAAATGACTAATTACCAAGTATCGTTTTGGGGAATTCGCATGGCTCCCTGCTTTCGTCCTCCCTCTATCATTACAGAGTTACACATAGAATCAACACTAAAACAAACAAACAAACAAAAAAACCAATCTCTAAAAGGCATGAAGAGTTTGTTGTTAAATACTTGCAATTTCAGATCATGGAAAAGCATATGAAGTAATAATGATGGATCTACCACATAGGGAGTTCCACAGGATCCCCAACACGTTCCTCCATCCCCCATCCCAACCTCCCATCCCACAAAAAAGTAGTTATCGGACAAAGTAAATACCAAAACCGACCGATGGCTCTTCTATTTAGACAACTTTTCGCAGGCAACGTCTTTCACTAGTAGAATACAAGCTCAATTTGGACATTTAGACTGAAAAAAAAAGCAATTAATAGCTGGTATATCAAAGTCGATTTGGATTTAAATTGGTGCAGTTTATAGCAGAACACTATTGACACTTCGTGCTAACCGGGGCCATGCTTGTCTGCCATCAACGAAAATGTCTTGAACAATGGACGCAGTTTGTTTTGTTTACCGCGCGTTTCTCCACGATCAGCTGGTGACCCAGATACGCACATCCGGGTGAAGTGTCAGCTCTCTAGTATTACTGTGAACTCTCTGGGGGCATTACAACTTTGACCTCTGACCTTCGACCGAAATCGTTATCAAAATGGCTTTGAGGAGAATGGAGTGACGAAAGTTACTGGAGTTGTTGTTGTGGAAAGTTTCACACGGTGCTTGTGTCTTGTCTCTTGCTGTTGTGTCGCTCTGAGTCTGAAGTATGGCGGCTCTTTACGACTTCGCTTCCACTTCGTCGTCTTCGGACTCGGAGTACAATAGAGAACATCTGGAGGATTTATCTTATGGGAATTTACAAACCATCCCCGACTGTATTCTTCAACGGTCAAACGCACTCCATTCTTTACAGCTGGATAACAACGACATCACCAGCTTGCCAAGTTCTATAGGCGTGTTTAAAAAATTAATTGTACTCGACATTTCGGCAAATAATATGACTTTCATAAGCGACGAAATATGTCAGTTATCAAAACTTAGAACTCTTATAGCCAAAAGCAATAAATTAACAGCAACTTCATTTCCTAAGGATTTCGGACAACTGAAGTCTCTAGAAGTTGTGAATGTGAGTGGGAACCACTTGGAGACTTTTCCGCCGCAGTTTACAGAATTAAGCAAGCTTCAAGTACTGCATTTCGGTGGAAATCTTTTGAAAGAAATCCCTAGCACGATAAAACGCCTCACAAGGTAAGCTAGTAATAGTATACGCAGTGGCCGTGAATGTAGTTGGCAGGCTACGTTCACTGCGCCCTGAATGCAGTTTGCAGGCGCTGTTGAGGCTACGTTACAGACTTAAAAGCTTCGTCCACTGCCACTTTGAAAGTCAGCCGGTTTTAGTCAGTGACGACAGTGACATATTTAATATTTGGATGGCACTATTTCTCCGAACGTTCGGGAAAATAAAGCTAGGCACTATTTCTCCGAACGTTCGGCAAAAATAAAGCTGGGCACTATTTCTCCGAACACTCTGAAATCACATCCTTTCCCGCAAATTTCGGATATTATATAGATTCTAGATCTATAATTATAGTATAGGCCTACCAAAGATTGTTCGTATACAATATGGTTCAAGCGGTTCAAAAAATGTCCGCAGTAAATATTTTTATATAAAGAATGCTACAATTTCAAACAGTTTTTCGCTATTCAGATATATGACGTGTTGCCTATGAAGGGTGCTGCTCTTAAACGTAATGTGTTGTGTTCACTCGTGTGCTGTCTAGATCTAGATCTACGGAGGGTTATTGATAACGACACATATAGAACTATTACTATTAGAACTGGCATCTGCCACGACCAATAATGTACCGACACTGGCAGGCCCCTTAATGTGTGTGATTCCATAATTTATGTAGATCTAATATCCTGTCCTTTTTAAAAAAAAAAATTAAGCACATTTAGGGTTAAAACAGCCAATCTTCTTCGGACAGGTGGACACACGCCCTTATTTGTTAATGTTTGTTGTTTATCATGGGCTGTTCTAATTTTGATTTCATTCTGTTGTGAAACCTTTCTTTTTCATGTTTTTACACTCATCTAAAAATCTCTAGACTAGCTCTTGAAAATTGAAATAGATATAGACCCAAAAATTTGCTCCTGTGTGTGTGTGTGTGTATGTATGTGCGTGTGTGAGTGTGTCTGTGTGTGATAGTAAGTGTGTAAGTGGAGAGTGAGTGTGTGTGTGTTTGTTTTTCAGCCTTCATTCAGTAACAGTTCAAAGTATACAAAAATAGAAACACAGGATCCATTCACTCCAGGGCTCACCAGTCGTTCATCTTTTTCAGTTTCACTCATTCATTCAATTCCCGTGTTCTCTCCCGCGGCTCATCCCCGTCCGCATGACTTTCACACCCCACCCCCTCCCTCCAGGCATACACAAAGAAAATCTCACTCATTCCCTTGCACCCTGCAAACCATGGACAATAATATATAGGCAAAACACTGCCTAAGCTGCATTATTTTCGTTTGTGAGCTGTGGACCAGGCCAGGGGGGTCGGTGTCGTCGTCTTGTAGTTGCTGTCGCCTGTGGATACACTCGCACATTCTTCCTTTCACCCGCTCTTTCACTCACACTGTCTCTCCATCCACGGCTCAGCTCGTCATACGTTCAAAAGTTGCCCATTGGTCATGTTTGTTTAGTTAATGTGTGTATAAGTTTGTGTGTGTACATGTGCATGATGGTGGTGGGTGTGTGGTGGGTTTTACTGAAGGTTGTCTGTAGGCGGGCTTGCCATGCGGTGTTCCTTCCCCCAGACCAGAGGCAGAATGAAAGTTGGCACCGAACTCTCGCAATAAATAGGCAAAACATTACGAGACCGGAATCCGGAAACCGTTCGGAGAAATAAAGATGGGCACTATTTCTCCGAACGTTCGGAGAAATAGTCACTTCGTTAATATTTTGGCCAGCTTCAAGTGTTCCTTCCAATGAGATAAGGAAAACAAAGCGCCCTTACAGTCGGATGGGATAGAGGACTATGGAAAATTGGATACAGTTGGGAAACAAGAGGTAGAGGTGGGCGGTTCCTGTTTTTTTCGGTAACCGTAGATTCCCGAACATTAAAGGCTAGGAATCGGCGCCGAACCCAATTATTTTCTTTATAGCCAGCGATGTGATTTCTTCCAGTGGCTCTATGATTTCTTCCAGTGGTTTCGACACGTACCCAGTATTATGAGTGTAACATGCAGCGACTAGCAGTTAGCCCGACCCCTGCAATGACCTCCGGCGAGAAGCAATTAGTCCGACCCTTGCAATTACTCCCAGCTAGTCCGACACTTGCAATTATTTCCGGCAAGTAGCAATTACTCCGACCCCAGCAACCCCAGCAATTATTTCCGCCGAGTCGCGATACCTATGACTACTTCCGGCGAGTAGCAATTACTCCGACCCCAGCAATTATTTCCACCGAGTCGCGATACCTATGACTACTTCCGGCGAGTAACGAGTTGTCCGACCCCAGCAATTACATCCAGCGAGTAACGATTAGTCCGATTCCTTTGATTACTTGGGGTGGGAGGGCGCTACCCCAGGCACTACCCCACCCAATCTCTACAGTATGTAGTCAGAGACCAACACTGACCTACACCGAGAAATGAGAGTCTATAGAGCCTCGTGGGCAGATGTTACAGGTTTAGATTTTGAATTGAAAGAAAAGAGAATGTTTATTAAATAATTAAAAAACAACAGATGAACAGGGTTGGGTTGATTTAAATCAAGTTGATTTAAATCAGTTGATTTTTAAAATTTAAATCAACTTGATTTTTAAAATAAAAATCTGTGATTTAAATCACTTTTTAAAATTTTTTTATTCAGTTTTTACATTTCAACATTCAGAATATTTCTTTCCTTGGTTTCATAAAACAGATATAAGGTTTAGTAGACTAATATATTCATGCGTAAGTTTGCTTTCCCCCCCCTTTCACTGTAAAATAATACAGTATTCAATTTACTTTTTTTTCCATAATAATTGAAATCAGAGCTGGGTTGATTTAAATCAGTTGATTTTTGTTGTTGTAATAATCAACTTGATTTTTAAAATAAAAATCAGTGATTTAAATCACTTTTCAAAAAAATGTATTTAGTTTTTACATATTTAAACATTCAGAATTCCTTTCCTTGGTTTTTAATATAAGGTTTAGTAGACTATTATAATCATGCTTAAAAGTCTGCTTTCCCCCCCTGTCACTGTAAAATAATACAGTTCTCAATTTACTTTTTTTTTTTTTCATAATTGAAAACCAGGGTTGGGTCGATATAAATCGGGTCAATTTAAATCAGTTGATTTTTAAAAATTTAAATCAACTTGATTTAAAAAATAAAACCCAGTGTTTCAAATCACTTTTAAAAACTATTCTGTTTTTACTTCTACATTCAGAATTTCTTGCCTTGGTTTTATAAAACAGATATAAGGTTTAATAGACTAAAATAATCATGCTTAAAAGTCTGCTTTCCCCCCTGTCACTGTAAGTAGTAAAATAATACTGTATATTCAATTTACTTTTTTTTCATAACATTGAAATTAGCATTTTCTTTTTCTCATTTTAGACAAACACGAGCGCACACACACACACACACACACTGTAATAAAATGCAAGTTTATCTATGCA